TGAATTGTGAATAGTTAATCCCTTAATTTTGAATTATTCCCATATGGTATTGGGTAATTGGGTTGGCTGGGTATTTAAATGTGTAATATGGTATTGGGCAAATGGGCTTATATTTACGACGTGCAATCAATGTGTGCCGTAAAAGTTTAGTTTTAACGGCATGCCATCCATGTATGCCGTAAATACTTTTAGTAACTGAATTATTATGGCGTTCATTTAAGGCATGCCGTAAATAATCTATTTTTACGGCATGCCGTATATGCATGTCGTAAACGTGTGCCGTAAAAAGTAACATTTGTTGTAGTGAAATGAGGTTCTTTCTCAACTTTGTTACATGCCTAACATCTTCCAAAATCATTGCCACGACATCGGATATTTTAAATTTCATGGATCCCATTCCAATGACCTTACATGATGCATCATTATTCATTATAGCAGATCCAAAATTACCTGAACTATATGAAGAAAACCAATCCTAGTAGGGACACATGTGATATGAACATGATGAATCAAGTATCTAAGAGTCATATAATCTGTCAGAATTACTTGCAGAGACTGATAGCATGTCTCCATCTCTAGAATTCGAATCTTCTCTGCAACACTAGCTGAGTTTGAGGACCTATCACTTTTCTATTCATCACCCTACTTCTTATTTGGATAGTCCTTCCTAAAGTGACCCATCTGATGACACTTGTAGCACTTGACATTTTCTTGTTTTGATTCCTAGACTTCGATATTGTATTCCCTTTGTAAGAACCACCTATATCTTTTTTTTCTCACATGATCTTGGTAGCCTTTCACGGTCAACCCTTTACCTTGTAAACTTTTGCCCGCAATTTTCGCTGGTTGTAGGCCAAGAAGGCTATTGTATCTTTCTCCAATTCAAGAGTCTCTTTACACTACATCAATGTGGTTACCAAGTGGTCGTACGAAGGAGGAAGAGAACACAACAACATCATTGCCTTGTCTTCGTCATCGAACTTGATGTTAAGTTACCTGACTAAACACGTTGGTATGTTGAATCAGATTAGTACCCTCAGCATCTTGAGCCCATGGAGCGGTTGCTTCAGATGTATTTTGTTTGTGAGAGACTGACATGTAATGACTTTCCAATTTTAGCCAAATCTTCGCTAAAGACTCAACGTCCATGACGTGATACATGATTTCATTTGCCAAATAGAGCCGAATTGTACCCACTGATCGAACCTCGAGTTCTTCCCAGTTGGAAACTAATATAGCCTCCTCTGGCTTCTTTCGATATAGCCCCTTCACCATCCCTTGCTGTGCCAACAAATCCTTCACCCTTTGTGGCCACAATCCGAAATTCCAAGTTCCGTCGAATTTTGCATAAATCATATAATGGATGCTCAAAATAATTTGAACCAATAGCGTAAAGTTTAGTGAAACTCCGTACGTTTTTTAATTTAGGAAGTAGCATCTTTTGAAGAATGCATTGTACACTACCGTTTAGCAGATGCTTTTCCAGCTTTCTTTAGTTGGAAAGAATAACCTTCATGAACTCAATGTAGCTTGGAATTTGGGTTAATGTATCGAAGAATGAGATTTTAGTACAAGTCTCCTTGAAAACCTAAGGAGCTTTGCAAATTGCTTGTCTATCTTTTTTTTTTCTGTAACTTTTGAAGAAAAGGAATGAGGCACATAAGCATTGACTCGACTTGGTATTGTAGTAGATGTTTATGTATTGTCTTCCTTATCAGCTTTGGTGGGTGCATATTTTTCTACACTTGCTGCTTCATCAATCACATCATGTTCATTCTTTCTCATGGGTCTTTTAACATGAATCTTTAGTAGTTGGACCTCATTCCTGGTAGTTATAGCGTGCACTTTCTCCTTTAGATTAGTCACTGTATTTCTTGTGATAGATCCTAGAGTTCGTTCTGAGAGTTGCATAGCCATGCGACCAATCTGTGTATCTAACTTCCTAATTTATACTTGCTAAATTGGATAACTTGTTTCAATCTACTGGAGCATTTTGTTGGTTTTCTGCATATGTTGCTGAAAATTTTCCCCAAACTTGGTCTTCTCTCCAATTGAGGATTATTGAAACAACCTTCGTGTTGATCGCCATAGCATTTGAAGTTTGGGTGCTGCTTCCTGCCCGGATTATAAGAAATATTTTTATTTAATTTTCCTTGCTTAAAAAAAGAAATGAATTTTAAATTAACTTGTGGAATGAAACTCAAACAACTACAAAACTGAGATAACGATATAATAAAGTAGATAATTATTTAGTAATTTTAACTCAGAAGTTTAACACCTTTATTATCTTTAAAATCTTGAATATCTCAAATGCGAACAAATAGGCACCATTACACTCTTCCTCAAACACCTTTTTTCCCTTTGAAATCTTAAATGATCCTATTAATCATAACCACCTCATCTCAACAACTACATACTTTGTTGGAATTCAACTTGTTGCAACTTAAAACAGGCTATATTTACTGGGTGGGTTAATCATGTTGAGTGTAGCATGACATTTAGGGTGTCACGTTCATTGTCAAATGATTGTTTAATTTTGTATCTTAAATCATGTGATTTAAGTACAATAGTTGGTATTTTAAAACTTTTGTAAAGTTATCTAAGTATGGTCTTATGTATGGTTGTCAACTTTGATAGATTGAAGTAGGTAGGATGCTGTTGAAAATCATGTATTTTGTAATATTATATATTCTGCAAGAAAGGAATCGACAGCAGCTTCTTCCTTCTCCGTTCTTTCTTCTTTAGAAACAGAGTATTCTCTTTCTCTGTCAAAACCGGTAAGCATCAAGTAAATCCGGTAAGCATATTGCACATATGGTTAGTTTGGTGTAAATCCGGTAAGTGGTAAATATTGCAAATATGGTAAGTGGTGTTTTATTGCAACACCGGTAAGCCCCTTGTCAATCCGGTAAGCTCTTACAAAATCGGTAAGTCTTGTGTGAATCCGGTAATTTCATTCCCTTTGAATCAATAATCTTTCATGGTATCAAGCCCTATTGATCTTAGAGAGGGGACTGTAGTAGGGGAAGAAGAAGAAGAATAGTAGTTACAGACAAAAAGAAACCATTAGCAAAGTTTTAGTTGACAGAAAAGAAGATGGCTTCAACTAGTTTTTCAGCACCATTACCCTCTACCCTGGAGAAAATTACAACTTTTGGGCTGCAAAGATGAAGGCTTATCTCAAAGCCTATGATTTGTGGGAGATACCTGATACTGGAGTAGAGCCTTCTCCTTTGAGATCTAACCCAACCGTAGCTTAAATTAAGCAGCATAGTAAAGATGTGGCCAAGAAGTTCAAAGCTCTCTCTTGCATTCAGTCAGCCGTTCTAGATGCTATCTTCACAAAAATCATGACTTGTGAGACTGCAAAAGATTCCTGGGATGTTCTGAAAGAAGAATATCAAGGAAATGAAAGAACAAGGTAGATGTAAGTACTTAATCT